CACGTGATATAATCTTTATCCAATAATATATGAGATATTTATAATCCAATAAAATATTATGACGAAAGGTCATTATACAACAATAGTAAAAATAACAAAAATAACTAAATAACAAAAATCAAATATCTAATTAAAAACAAATATATTTATTTTAAATTAAATTTCAAAATTTATTAATTCCACTAATAATATTTTGATAGGCTCAATATAATTCAAAATTACTTATATGCAAGTTTATAATTAAAAATGAAAATTATGAGATATTATTTAATAAAAGATTTTTGTTTTATTGTAATATTATTTTCAAGCTATAATATATTGAATTTAAGTTCAAATACTATTTTTATTATATATTTTTTACAAATACAAATTCCAATATAATAACTATCTAAAAGATAAAATGACTTTTTCGTTATAGCTTACAGCAATAATAGTAATTATCCCATAATCTCGATGACTTTATCAATAAATTTCGATTTAGCAAAATTTGGTTGATCAGCAAGTTCAAAATTGTTATGTTGACCACTTAATTCTGGCCAGAATTAGAAATTCTATAATTTGGCCTTAATCGTTATTTACATAACGATTATGCCATCGTTATAGTTAAATTCTATTGAAAAAATAGAGCTCCGCACTTTCAAAACGAATGTGGCTGTAAAAATGTCATTTGTCTTTCTGAAATGAATCCTTTATGAAATTTCCAAATATATTGATATATTAACATTTTTGGTATAAGCCACAATCAATTGATTTGTTTGTTTATTTAATCGCAATAATCTTATCGTTATCGTTACTTTGACGAATATCTGTTCGTTCCTTCACTCCTTTCATTCTTTGAATTCAAAACCCGCCTGTTTCTTGTGTATGTCAATCTTTCTGAATGAACTGTTATTGTGCTTGTTTTTTATCTCGTGCCGAATGATACTTGCATATCAATATACATGTATTATACGTTATATTATTTATTTCCTGCATTGTAATTGTAATTTGTCTTTTGTTTCACAGTGTACTACGTACTTGGAAAAACGTTTTGTTTGTTTTTTGTGAATAAATACAATTAATTATACTTGCATGATCACAAGGCATACACATACAAACTGAGCGCCCATTATTTATGTCTTTGCCACAAATACAAATACAAACACAATACGTACGTACATAGATAGTTTAGTTAAATTATTTCCTGTAAAAAACGAATGATGAATGACGGATGGATAGCCGAAAATGTTTGTTTATTTCGTGATTTTATTAGTGCAGTTATTAGACATCTAAAAAAAAACTCGCATCACTAACGCATAATGGTATGTAGTATTAATGAGTAATAACGCCCAAAGAATCCTTTTTTAGAAATTTTCTGCTGCGAAAGTTTCGGTCACTTTACTTGGTGCATTGCCGTTTCATTTTAAAGGGCGTCCAAAAATTCGGTAGAATTGTCACTATTTGGTAATCAATGCAGACTTTAATAATTCCATAACGATAACAATAAATCGGAAAAGAGCGTGCTATTTCCATTACAATCATTGCTACGGCGGATAACCAAAACCATTGTTATCCGTTATAAAAAATACCCGATTTTTTCTTTCTTTGAGTTTTATGAAATGCTATTATGTCGTAGTCAGTTCGCAAAGTATTTTCGTCGTCGTGACAATTACCGAAGGCGACGGTGACTATTGAGTTTCTGGGGGTGCATATCATCAATTAGTATAAATTACAATAAAAAATACGAAAAGCGAAGGAATATACGTATTTGTGTATTGGCAAATTTCAATGCAGCATACAACGTACATGTATGTAACGGGAATGTACACATACATAAATTATTATTGTATATTAATAATGGCAGAAAATATACCCAATAGATGTTGGTATAACAGAGACGGAACAAGTAAAAATTAATTAACTTATATACACAATACATGTATTAAAAATATAATGATACCAATATTTCGACACATAAAAACATCAACCATTACTACAAAAAATTACAACAATAACAACGATAATTTATATATAAGAGAATAAACAATAACAACGATAATTTATATACAAGAGAGTAATATTGTGTTCATTGTTTCAAATCCACTGTTACTATTGCTGTTGCATATACTTCTCCATTTACCCCTCACCTTCATATACATTCTACTTTTCTACTTTTCTTCTTTTTTCACTTATTTATTTATTTATCCTCCCTCTCCCGGTCGGTGTCTTAGTTTTTTTTTATTCACTTTCTTTAAGCATTTTTTTTTATATATATACATTTCAAAACAGAATATTCGATCGACAATAATCAGCACGGCAGGTTTTTTTAATGATACGATAGAAAAAGGAAATTCCTTCAATTATTTACTTGCATCAACAACAACCTTAGAAAACATATAAAAACACATAATTCTATAAAGTTCGACAATCACAACACGATCAATATAAATATAGACTTTTGATTTATTTTAGTAGTTGTCATTTAAGTATACGTCTTGCATTTCTTCGAACGTCATTTAATTTTCTCATATAACACGAAGAAATAAAAGTTCTTGCTTATAAACTTATAAGTATACTTATTGACATCGCACGCATTACATCATACACACGCAATTCACCGAAAATTCAACTTAATAGATAGAGAAAACACACAAATTCAATTTTTAGAAAAAATGAAAAAGGTCAAAAATGTTATTTTACGCAGAGGACCATTTGGGTCAAAGAAACAACAACTTCAAGCAGACACAGAGAATTATGGTGATTGCAACGACTCGACAAGATCTCATAAAATGCACTCTACATCAATATATCACCATTCGAAAGGAATATCACACAAGAACTTCTTTCCCTCAAGCGACGAAGATGAAGAATACCCATCACCACCTCCATATGATGCAAGATTTACACCAGCAAATTATAATAATGAAAAACGGTCGACATTGACTCGAGCAATATTAACAAAATTGAAACATGGCAAACGAGACCATGGATTACAATCATCTACCTTTTCATCATCATCATCATCATCATCATCGCTATCGTCATCATTATATAATAATGGAGTATCAACATCTGCTACCACAATTACTACATCTACACCGTGTTCACCCTTTACAATCAGAAGTGACTCGTCTGAAACTCCCGTGACTCCAATGACCCCATTAACACCATTAATGAGTCCACCATCAAATATCTTAACTACTCCCACCTCAGCATTCACTGTAAACTACAAAAACATCAAATCACCGAGCCAAGAAAGAATCGACATGAAACCGAAACTGACATTCTCGACTAAACACAATGAAGTCGATTTACATTTCGTATTTGACAGTCGCGCATTCGTGCTCGAGAATTGCAAAGAACGAGCATTGTATTACTTGTGCTCGAAAATAAGAGATGCGGTTGAACCAGCACTCAATATCAAGATCAATCCATTGTTACTTGAATTGAATATCCCACGGGTGAATTTAATTCAAGTCACTATTACAAATAAGTTGCTTAGTGAAGAGGGCGGTATGTACGGTATAATTCAAAAATATGGAATATGCAAGGAAAATCCACTCAAAGTTGAAATACTGGGGAATATTATGGAACGAACGTATTGTAAGTGAAGAATATATTTTCTATGTTGGAAAAAAATCCATTCCGAGTTTACTAATTTACAATAAAACAATAACAGCCCATTCTTCCGAAGAAGATTGGCCGCATCAAATGGAATGTGAAGGACACATAACAATTACTCCACAACTACCAAATTTCGTGATTGACCTCTTCAATTGTCTGTCATACAAATTCGAAGGAAACAAAAAAGAAATGATCTCGCAGCATCAGGATAGTACAATATCAGAATTACCAGAATGTAATAAAGAGGAAGCAATGAACGAAGTGGAAAGTGACCCCGAGTTGTTTACTAGTGTCTTGGATAAACTTGCGCGTCGATTGGGTGGGAATAATTTGGCGGTCTGTAATAAGAAGGACGGGATCATAACTGTATGTGAAAATGAAGTTGTTTATGCACATAATCTTTTTTATTCCATGCTTGTGTATTGATTTGCAATATTTTTCTTTCTGAAGTCTTTTGGTGCGAAATTCAATGCGATACTTGATGAATTACATGAATTCACCGGAACTCAGGTAAAATTAATACCAAAAAAAAGTATTTTCAAATTTTTAATGCAATGAATGCTAATTTAAAAAAAATGTATTTAGACACCCCAAAATTGTTGTCCATGGATATTACGCCAATCAAACAATAACACCACGATAATAGAAAAAGTCACGGGCACAACATCATCACCAGCAATAATGCAATGGTTACAATACACAATAGACTTTGTCTGTTTACTATGGGACGCCGAGCGTGGCTCACTGCTAAATAACAGAGCCGTTAGTATGCCTCCCGAACTGCCCGCGCTACAACTCGAAGGATCTATCAAGCGAAATATCAAAGTTCCAAATGAGTTATTAAATGGTTCATTTATTGACTCGATGCTCTTCAAACAACAGCAAGATAGTGGAATAACCACAATAAGGCGTCGCGACGTGTCCCTACTGACAAAGTTTCGACCAGAGATGATATTTCCACGAATTTATTCCACGCAGGATTTGCTGCTACAAGACGCCGATTTGGATGATATAAGGTCTTCGGAAGAAACGACGCAGTTCATTCCGCAATTCAAAAGTAATTTCGCGGTCGAGCTACAATCACCAAAACTGCATATGGTTCGACTTGGAAATCTTTATAAACATTGTGACGAGTGTTCACATTACGAGGATCATAGCACGTCTACTGACAATCTACGATCACTGATAATGCATCGAACAGCGTTTGGTGGACCCTATGGTGCCGTAATAAAGCGACATGGAATGACACCAGATGAAGCTACGGAAATAACGCTTAATCCGATACATAACTGTATACACAAGGATGATCCATATGTTCCGTTGGAGTCGTTTAAAGATGACGGGTATATTGTGTTTGGAGTTGGTGGCCCTACTTCTCGTGATGGAGGCAAAATACCTTCGTTACGCGATTTGTGTCGACGATCTCTAATTCTACAAGGCAAAATTCAGGAACCGACGCTTTCGCGAATAGACAAGGTATTTATTATACTATTTTTGTTCCAAAAGAAGAGACACGTGATGTTTAACGTTAAGTTATTCTTTTTATTTAAATAGAGCAAAGAACGACTATGCAGTGGCTGTCAAAAATGGTTCTTTAATCCAGCCGAGACCATAATACTTTGGACTGCCGCCCAAGATTACTATTGCGGAATGCTAGTAATCGGCCATTATTGCGCTTACCAATGTGTACCATTAAAAGTGCGCGAGAATATAAAGAAAGGCGTGTGTCCTTGGGAAAGATAAAAATTCGTTTTTATCTCCCCTTCATTATAATATTCACATACACTATACCCTCTTGTACAAATTTTCTTTATAATTTTGATTTTTTTTATTTTTATTTTTATTTTTATTTACATGTACAAATACACATTAATCGTCATCGTTGCGTTTGAACATGAAAATTTGATATTTATATGCGACGCGACGCGCTCGAATGGTAGGCATATAAACTTTTGTATGCGTGGAATTTTGTATATTATAATATCAATAATACCTTATAGTTGTTTACATATAGGATGGATTCTTTATTTTTTAGTTTTATAATATAAAAATAATACATCACAATTGTAGTTTTACTCTAATACCTAATTTCCCACTATTTCACATAATCTGTCGTAATTATAGAAAAATTGATTTGATATTTGATATCAACCCTTTAATAATAATAATAATATAATACGTAATAATACGACAATAATACCACTATTTCACATAATCTGTCGTAATTATAGAAAAATTGATTTGATATATCAACCCTTTAATAATAATATCGATATAATAATAATAATAATAACAATGTTACACTGAAGCATTGTACACCCCAGTGTAACCTCAAATATATATAAAATTCCAATATGGTTAGTGTGTTTTCGGAAAATTCTACAGTAATAAAGATTAATGTTAAGGTTAGGGTTAGAGGCAGAGAACAATATTATATGTAAAATTGTCTTCCCGACATTTTTTATTAGCATTCTAGACCAGATTTGCCGGGTTGATCAAAAATTTATGCATTATTATTGGCTGTTATTTGATCTAACCAAAATGGATTGGGGTGTACATAGATGCACTCGTAAATAATAATCCAACAATTTTTTTATCGTTATTCTTAGAATAAAACAGGTAAGAATGTTTCATATAAATCCAAGTATCACATGGAGTTCCAATAAAAATAACTTGCATGTGTCTTACTTATTCACCTGTATGAAACTGGTTATTACCAAATCCATCGAACATAACACAAAACAATTACAGTCAAACCCCTCTATAGTCACCACCCTCGGGAAAGCAAAATTTGGTGAATATAGAGGGGATGTGACTATAGAGGGGTTTTTTTACTATCGCTATGTTTATATGTAAATGGGAAAGCAAAATAGGGTGATTATAGAGGTTTGACTGTACAATAATCATTTCAGAGAACCCTTCTCCGCAAGAAATTTTTCCAAACTTTCCTTTTCGGGAAACATTAACATTTATAATTAGAGAGAATATTTATGTATGTGTAAATTAAAGGAATTCATTAGCTCTTGTGTTAATTAAAGAATTCATTAGCTCTTGTGTAAATTAAAAGAATTCAGCGGCTCTTGTGTAAATTAAAAGAATTCATCGGCTCTTGTGTAAATTAGAGAGATTCATCATACTTTGTGTTTCGTCATCATCGCCGTAATTCAGGATTTCAATGAAGCAACTAGCATTCAAGACCCCCGAGTTTCATCATTTTTTGTACATAGTAAACATGTAATACACAAGATGCATATACACAGATAATCAATCACCTATCTTCGCGTTTAATATCAAGACGGCGATCGATTACGCTGGAGCACATATTACTACATTTACTTCTGTTTAATGATTACCTCAAGTTGTTAATGCATTTATATTCCGTCATAATTGATGCAATTCAACGAAAAAAGCATCGTGTATTAAGAGAAGGCTAGAGGTGCAGACTATGGTAAAGTTGCAACCCTCGCATGGTTCAGAGATGTAATTCCAGCATTATTATTTTTATACAATACAAAAAATCGAATATTACACTTATATCGATATTACATGTATGTACCACAGTTACGGTATACGTCACGTCACAGTGCTGTAATGACACCTCAGGCATTATGGAATGTCTGCACCCCTAAGATGAGCTTTGTATCAGATGTTTATAGCAGCATCTTTGTAATTCAATCGAAATTTCGAAAGGGAATTGTGACTTTTGATGCATTTCACATACATAAGCGTGAAAGTACATGTACGTAGTAGGAGCAGAATCAATGAAAGTAATAATCTATAGATTTATATTACATAATATGCCAAATTAGACTATTTAAATTTCAAATAGTATATTTCAAAGATGCCACATCGTAAAGTTGTAAAAATGGAGTACGTACAAGTTTTTCTATGAGACAATGGTATTTTAGAATGGCACAATACAAGTTAGTCACTTATTAAACTTGTTAAGGAGTACACAGCGGCGGATCTTCTATATAATGAGTCTAGAACAGTCTATATAAACTATAATCCATCCGTTATATCAAAACTTTGAGCTTAACGTTAATTAGTTTCCGTTATCAATTGAAAACTATTGTTCTATATACTCTCTTTTTGTAACTCGATGATATCATAAGAAAAAAAAATCCAATTTAGCGTTAGTAAATTTCAGCAAAAACGAAAAACGAACTTTTCAGGAAACTTCCGATTAAAAACAGAATGCATGTAAAAATACGCATCTGCGTGGAATTTGCCATAAGTATCAAATAAATTGGATTCTACGTAAATACGCAGTTGAAAATTAAATAAAGTATTCAAAGGGTCTTTGAAATACAAAAGTGGTTAGGCAACTCACTCTACAGTATACCTATAATTTTAATTTTAATTTACGGATCTATTTATGTTAGTTTAAAGAGCCAAATATGTATATTGAAAAGAAAAATCTCAGATTTTTACTGATGCATGTAAGAAGTGAATACGAACTTATAAGCCTCAAAGACTGAATACCCGTACCTATTATACATAACGATAGTGTTGTGAATCTTGTCTAAACGAATGCAAATTGTTTTGGTCTACGGTTTACCATTTTCTTATGCTAAAAGTTTGACCGTAAATATATAGCATACCGATACTATGTATTTGAGGTTTTTATTTAAAATACAGTAAGTATACAATAAAAACTAATTTATACGTAGTTTGTTTTTACTAATGTATTCGTATTCAATACATGCGCGAAGTATACATCAATTTTCTGCCTAATATAGGGGGTCCGTTAAAGCCGTGTATATAGTTACGCGTGATTTTTAATCCGATCCGGATTGTAACCATGTGACCAAATTGAATAACCAATAAAAATACTATATAGCGTTGGTTCACCAGCAACAATGTGCTTTAACATTCTTTGAATACATTAAAAGTACTAATCAAGCAATTTTACAGTGTTCTGACTGACAGCAAAAATAAACTGACCAATTAAAAATTTTATTTGATTGTTGTTGACATTGTTAAAATTGATTTTTCAAGAGCACTTCCACCCAAAGACCCCCATTTCATCAAATATTCACCAAAGAACTCACTAGATCCGGACACCCGGGAACCCTTACTAACCCTAACCAACACTGGCGGTCCGAGAAAATAAGTCAACTTTGGATGTTTATATTTCTCCCAATATCAAACCAATTTTTGTGGTCCGAATACAGAGAATGTTCGTCTTGATTAGGCGAATCAGACGAAGATCGGCGAGATATCGTTGCCTCACGATCCGTCCGTCATTTTGCGATTTTTCATGCACTGACTTTAGATACCAATATCTCCACCGATTTGTTGATCTAAATGCAAAAATATTCACATAATTATAGGACTATAGATAACAAAGATATGCTTATATGTTCCAGAGATATGGGCGTTCAACGATGCCACACAGACCCGGTGCGAGACCAAACCGGAAATTTGCGACTGCACCAACAAAATGAAAAAACTAGACACCCAACAATGAAAGAACGCCAAATACTCACATTCAGGAAACTTGGTACGAAACAAAACTGGAAACCGGTCGCGTAAGCTGTTAGTTGTTATGAGTGAGTTTGGCCGCCATTTTCGTTTCGCTGGGGTTGCGAATTTCTCCAAGTTGCGATCAGATTCCAATTTGATTTCATGACGGTGGTGTTTTTAGTGAGTATTTGATGCTGGGCCAAACCACAAAACAAGACATTGATAGCAGAATTCAGCCAATCATTGAATGTGTTACAGATTCATGTATAGGTCATGTGCATTAAGTCAATCCGAATAATTATGATTATCCGAGTTGACTTAAGCCTTAATTCACTATATACACGGCTTTAACGGTCCCCCAAATTAGGTTCATATATAATACAAAGAAACATAATTTGCCACACATTAAATAATAAAAGGAAAGATCGAAAGAACCAACCGGAACTTGTTTTTCTTTACGAACTTAGAATTCCGCTTAATTAGTATCGGAAAGATTCCTTGTTCGAGATAATTTTCATATCCGAGAAACAAAAAAGAAATAAAAGAACTTTGAATCACTTTTATTTTATAAAGTAATTACTTTTGATATCTTTTCCAAACATTGTTGAGTAGCATTCATCTATACAATGAATTATCTAAGACAACCGCTCCATAATAAAAGTATGGAAAAGCTCAAAGTCGATTTGAGTGGAAAAGTTGTAATCATAACCGGAGCAAGCAGCGGTATTTTTTTAAATCTTTGTTCATGCTAAGATAAATGCTATTTATTATACTAAATACTATTTTATGCACGTATAAATAGGAATCGGTAAAGAGCTTGCTAATTACATCTCATCGTATAATCCAAAACGCTTGATCCTTCCTGTTCGTAATCGGACAAAAAGTCAAGCGACATTAGAATATATCAAAGAGAAAAATGGTTTTACTAATGCCGAGTTATGGGATATGGATTTAGCTGATTTGACAAGCGTACGTTCATTTGCGAAAAAAGTAGTTGAAGAAGTAGATCAAGTACATGTATTGATCAATAATGCAGGTAAGTAAACATAAATGAATGCTATATACATATGCACTATACGTGTATATCGATATGGATTGTAATCGCGCGTATGTTGTTCATTAATAGGTGTCGTATTATATGATTTGTCATACACTAAAAACGGACTTGAGACACATTTTCAGGTATTATTAACAAATTTAAATTACTTGTCTTTCTAATTTGTACACTTCACAAATTTAATTCGCAAAAACAGGTTAATTATCTTGGACACTTCTTACTTACCACAAGTTTACTTGATACATTGAAAAAATCCGGGACTGACACTTTCCCAGCACGTGTTATTAATGTTTCATCATTCGAATCATTGAATGGAGTAATTGATTATAACAATATTGACGGAAAGAAGTCGAGTAATGCTCTTGAAATGTATAGAAATTCAAAATTAATGAATCATATGTTTAGCAATGAGCTTAACAAGCGTTTAGCTGGAACAAGTAAGTTACCTTCCCATAATACATAATTAATTTCCTGAAACTCATTTATAAGAAAAAATAACCGATTATTCATCAACAAACCCAGATGTTGTTTCGCTCGCAATGTGCCCAGGATTTATCAATACAAACATCGGAGAGGCTTCTGGCTTAGCTGGAATGTGGCGAGACTTAGTCTTCACATTGATTAGCGCAACTACCGAAACCGCTTCACACAATGTATTAAAACCGTCTTTGTTAGATGTACAACAAAATGCGGGAAAGTTTTTTAGAGATGGAGAATTGTCAAATGGAAATCCGTTGGCTGATGATGAAGAGTTGAGGATTAAATTTTGGGAATATTCTGAACATGTCTTGGCAGAGCATTAAAATGAAGCAGCTTTCGATTGTTGACTTCCGGACATAATTATCAGAAAAAAATGGATAGCTCGATTTTTGTTTAATCGCGAATTTTAATGAACATCAATTTTTTGTGATTCAAAAATTACCAAAATTGTCAAATTAAAAGTTTTATGTTTAGTATTAGTTCATGACATTACCATTATACAGTAAAACCTCTAATGCATCCTCTATAAATGCACGGTATGGCTTGGTTCCAAGTTATAAGACACATATATATATTACTCACTATAAATGCACAACCCCTCTAAGTGCACACTCTGCCTGTTATTACTATGATCCCGAGAGGGGTGCACTTAGAGAGATTTTACTGTAGTATTAAATTATATTAATTATTAATAATATACACACAAATTAAAAAAAAACTTGCATATTTATATTTCACCATCCGGAATTCCATATCTTCTCAAAACGGACTGCACAATCCCATCTGACACCTCCCACAACTCTTTTCCCAATCCCACATCATCAGATTTCGGATCAGCTTTCGCGATGCGTCCGTTCTCAAAACATAGTCCTCGGTTGTTTTGAATATCTGGCGAGAAAATTGGATATAGAACATTGAATGAGGATTTTTGCGCGATTTTTTGGCCGTTGAATTTTATGGAGATTGTTTTCCAGAATTGGTGGATGCCGTTTAACTGGTTTAAATGTGTTTTTATGAGGCCCGGACAAGTGACGATCGATACAACATCTTTTTATTAGAAAAGCAAATAGTTTCAGTTCAACTGTAGAAACAGAATGGAAATACACGTGTTTTCAATCACTAACTTGTCTGAGCTAGACGACGATTCAGTTCGTAGCTAAATACTATATTCTATCCAAAAATAAAGTTAGTTTTCCCGTTTTGATTAAAATGTATGCAGGGATGCATATATGCAAACATACAAACATACAAACCATTAATTTAGAATTATTATACAACTCCAACACTTTGTTTGACTTTGACCCGTCAAAATTTTCTACATCGATAACAGCGCGACGAGTTAATGACGAAGAAATGTGTACAACTCGGGCAGGAAATTCAGGCGTTCCCGATTTTTTAAGAGTTTCAATCAGAATATTTGTCAATAAAAAGTGTCCGAGATAATTGACCTGTCATTTGTATAAATTTTTAATTCGGAACATATTGCCATTAACGATTTAGTGAGTAGCATACCTGAAATTGTTTCTCTAGCCCATCTTTGGTTTTACTCAGCTTCTTTGACCATACTTCTATAAAGAAGTAATTCAAATAAATTCAGCATTGTCTTTTTGATTTTTATTTCCATAATGTCAACAAAAAATTTTCCATCAATTTACCGGCGTTGTTAATTAACACATGTGCCTCTCCAATTTCATCGACGATTCTTCGTCCAAACTTTCGCACGCTGTCAAAATCCTCCAAATCCATATCCCATATTTCGGCACTATCCTCGCCTGTTCTCGCGCGTATATAGTCGAGCACGCAATCGCCAGAGGAACGATCACGAACTGGGAGAATAAGTCGTTTTGGTTTGAATGATGAGATGTGACGTGCCAGGTTTTTTCCAATTCCTTGAAACACCAAAATTAAAAATTATTTTTTTTTCTGGCAATACTTTTATTGTATCATTATTAAAATTAGGAGTATGAATAAGTTTACCATCATTCACGCCCGTTAAAATCACAACTTTTCCAGACAAATTTGTGTCTTTTAACGAATAATTTAAAGGATTCATTATCTCGTTTCTCTTTTTTTTCACAAATGCAGAAAAGTATAAACCAGCTGTCAACTATATAAATGAATTCTTTATTATTTGTTTGCTATTGCTCGGTTTTTTTTAAATTATATTGTGAGAAATTAAAAAATCAATTGTTGTTTGTCAACCACCTGGGCAAACCAATACAACCAACATTAAACCTCAACAAACCGATAACGATAGCGTTTTTAAAGACGCCAAAAATTGTACGCGGGTTTCTTTAATTCATATGCGGTGCTATTTTTAGCTGTCGAGAACTCTACATGGATGTTCTAAACATATGATCATCCGCCAAAATTTCTTTATTTTTAAGATTAATGTTTCAGTATATGTATAATTTGTAAACTTGTGATACGTTCTCGATATACATGTACTTATTTGGAATATAAATTAAATTCAGTGTGAAGAATGATTAAAAACTATAACGATGATGATAATATTTCTATTTATAAACAATGTACGTACATACGTATATGTAATTGTGTTTATGAAAGAGGAGGATAATGTTAAAAATAATCGGTTATTTTCCAAAATTTGAATCATTTTTAATTAAAAGTAACTATATTCGCAACATAAAGTATATCCCACATGTACACAAGTGCATCTATATCATTTACATGTATGTGCAGTACTACAAAATTTTATTTAAACACTGCGTTTAAAGAATCGATCAATTAACTAATTCCTCTACTGAATGAAATTCCAAATTGTTTCTCCTATCCTTCTATAGCTATACATAAATCATCAAAACTGCGTATGCAGTGTATGAAAAAATTCGGGCGTATGTACATATTTATAAAAGCACAAAGATTGTTTTATTCTAAATTCTTTTTAAATTACAATGAGCTTATAGCTGGAGAGAATTCGTCAATTTAATTTCTAAAACTCCGAGCTACAGGTTCTTACACACATTATAATGTAAATAAATACTACGCAAAGGTTTTCTATTTATGTTACAAATCTCATTCTCACTCAAAGGATTTTTTCAATAGTATATTCAGTCGATCCTGGTTGGAAAATTAAATTTAAAATCTGTAGCTGTATACCAAAATTACTATATATATAGTCACGCCAACGGATTTAAAATATGGATTTAATTATAACGAGATTTGACTATGCTTTCAAATACCAATCAATCGTTTTTATTTCATGATGTTTTTATCCTTTTTTTTCATAACAATAGTCATTCAATGCCATTTTCGTAGCATAGCAAATCAAACATTGTTCTAATGTATTATTTAAAGGTGCAGACGTATGAAAAATGACAGAATGCCATATGCCGTAACTACTGATGTAATTCTAGCCAGCATTATTCTATTACTATTATTCTTGCTACAGTTACGCAGACATTGCTCAGATCAGGGGTCACGGTATTACAGTTTGAGTTTATTCCAAAAAGGGATTATCGTTATTTACAAAATGGATGCTTCTTAGCGTTAGAATATAATATAAGTGGATTCTGAACCTAAAAAGTTTCTATTATTTATTGTATACGTATTGGAAAAAGACAAAGAAATGAATAAAGTTTAATTAAAATTTTAAAATATGTATATAAATTGTTCTAGAAATTATTTTTATTTTTGGTAAAATTATTAATTTCTATGGTGCGAGAATTCTTAAATCGACAATAGGTTTCATGTTAAATTCTTAACTAAGAAGTAAATACAAAATTTAACTAGTAATATTATAAAAAAGAACTTTCTTGATAATATTACCAGTCAAATTTTGGATTTACTTCTTAGAATTTTTAACATGAAAAATATTGTCGATTTAAGAATTTTTGCACCATAGTTTTAAAATCCACTTAGATTTTTAGATTTTAATATATTTTCAACTTGTTCAAGTTTATAATATAAAAAATAAATTTAAAATATTTTAACAAGTATTTGTTTTGAAATGTCTTTTTTAAATATAAAATGATTAATTATTTCTTTTTGGAATAATTCCAAGTTACATTATAATTTTCAATAATTAATATAATTAACATTGTTAGAATAATGAATATAATTAAATTTTAGTAACTATAATACAAAATATATAATATACTCTTTTATTAATTTAATATATTATTATATTATAGATTAATCTAATTATAATAATCATTAACAATTATTATATATAAAAATATTAATATTAATTAATTATATATTCAAAATTTTTAATTCATATTCTAATTAGCTATTAAAATATAATTTAACAATTATTATATATAAAAATATTAATATTAATTAATTATATATTCAAAATTTTTAATTTATATTCTAATTAGCTATTAAAATATAATTACAATTATTATAAATATAGTTAAATATTTAAGATAGATATGAATATTATAGAGGATATAAATATTATAATGAATTGAAATATCTCATAATCTGAAAATCAAAATTGAACAATTTTTTTTGTCTCATTAAAATAAGTTGAATAGTATAAAAATTACTTAATTATAATTATTAGATCAGAAAATATCTTTAATATTTATCTTTATTAAAAATTCTCTTTATTATAATCTTTAAATAAGAAAATATTATTATTTAATAATCAGAATTGAGCAATTTTTAATTGAGTTTAATAAGATAAATCAAATAATATAAAAATTGCTCAATTTTGATCATTATATTATGAGATATTTTTCAATTTACCACAATACTCATAGTACTAAAAATATTAAATTTTTAAGTGTTCTTATACAAACTATAAAATAGCAAATATTTAAATAGAATAATATATTTTTTTGTTAATTTAAAATTATATTAGTTCAATAAATTTTGTAAGTAATTGAACTTTTTTGAAAAATTTTTATTAATTACTACTTTTAATTTTATTATAATATTTATATTTATTTAATAATTATTATTTTAGAAAAATAAAATTAAATAACTATAAAGATATTATAATAATAAAGATTTTTTTATTATATTTATATATAAATAAAAAAGCAAAATAGAAAATTATAAAAAAATATGACTATAATTATAGAGAAATTTAATTATATATTTATATTTATATTATATAAAAAATAATATTATATATTATAATAATTAAAAAAATAAAATAATATTAAAATTATTAATAAAATATAAATTTTTTATAAAAGTTTTCAATTTACAAATAAAAAAATATATTATCTAAAAAAATTTTTTAAATTACAAATTAAGTTAATTAATTTTAATAATTAAAATATATAAAAAATTAATTAACTTATTTTATAATTAGAAAAAATATATATTAAAATAAAAATATTTATTTAAAAAAATTGTATTCTATTATAATTTATTAATAATTTTGAAAATAATATTATTTTATAAGTTATTATAATAATTTATATTATAAAATATAATTTTTTCAAATTTATTGCAATTATAAATTAATTAATGTATTTAGATTAAAAAAATTTTTTAAATAAATTTAAAAAATATATATAAAATAAAAAATTATTATTTTATATAAATATAAAAATTAGAAATATTAATTAATAAAATTAAAAATATTATTAATAAATTTTAATAATATTATACTATTTTTAATTATTAAATATATAATAACAATAAAAGAATATAAAAGGTTTTTAATTTTACTAATAAATATTTTTTAATTTATAATCTTTATTTTAATATAAAAATAAAAAATATTTATTAATAAAATTGAAAACATTTATATAAAATAAACTTTTAATTTTACTTTATTTTATTAATAAAATTATATATATAATTTTATAATTTTATTAATTATTATATAAAATATAATATTTATAAACATAGAATATTTAAAATAATAATTTATATAAAAATAAATATATTAATATTATTAATATTATTAATATTAAAAAAAAATAAATAATAATAAATATTTTTTATTTTATATTAATATTAAACTAATATTATATATTTTAAATATATATTTTTTTCAAATTTTTAGATTTAATTTAATAAAGTTATTTTAATTGCATATAAAATTAATAATTTTTATAATAAAAATATATAAAAAA